TGTGGCGTTTGTATTTCAAAAAATGCCACAATAATGAAAATTGTGCTTTTTTATATTTCTTCAATATTTACTACTATAATTAAATAAAAATTGAAAGAAATAAAAATGATTTTTGTAAATGAATATTATAAATATTTAATATCTAAATACATAATTTGTTCCAATACATATTGTTATTTACATCTATTTTTCTAAAAATATAGAAGTAGATAGGAAAAAATGTAAGCAAAAGAATACATCAAACTCTTGATCACATAATATTGAACAATTTTAAAGAAAAACTTTATCTTGATATCTCTATTATCTTGCTCACAAGCTCTGAAAGGCACACATTGTCTCTACAGCTATCTTGAGCTCTAACTTTCATGAAGTCAAATGAATTTCAAGGGGGAGATAATAAGTGCTAATGAATACAAATCAAGTAACAAAAGAGAACCCAGGAGTTAATAAGAGCATCATCACTTTTACGAGGTGCTTTGTATTATGCTTCATTTGGAGGATTAAACCCAAAAGCTATCATAAAAGGACCATCAATAACTAAATTTGCCCATAAAAGTTGCAACAAGTATCTACATTCTAGTAACCCAAGAGCAAACAGTCAAGAATATGGATATTACTTCTCAACATTTGATGATATCATGTATTTGTGAATTTAGGAAATAAATAAATAAGGCATATCTTAATTGCTCAGAGTAAAGTACAAGATCAAATTAACATGCCTTATGAAAGCTTTTATGTTATCATAAATTGGGCGACCCTTAGCAACAACTAGAACAATGGTGAATGCATTTTTGCCAAGAAAATGCCTAGAATAATCAATAACAAATAATCTGTGCCTAGACCCAAAAAAAGGCTAAAGGACAAATCGAACTAACAACCTTATGGTAAACATCTGTACGATCCAAATGATTTGATAAGCTTAATATTAAATGAATTTTTGAAAAAAATAAATTTCATAAGTCAAAAATTTTTTTGTTTACATATTAAAGGCGTTTCTTGTAGACAACACCTTCATTAATCTTATATAATTTTTTATGACGTGATTATTGAAGGCGTTGTCTATCAAAAATATGCCTTAACTATTCATTGAAACTTTTAATAAAAAATATTCAAGGTGTTTTAGTCGAGAAACGCCTCTAATATCAAGTCTTGGATGGCATTTTTAGTAACAACATCGTTATTTGAATATTTAGTGGGCGTTTCGATAATAAACACTTTGAAGTTTTATAAAAACACGGAAGCTAGCAACATTTGTAAGTGAAAGGCCACTATAAAACTACTGCTAATACTCCATTTTGCTGTAGTGTTAGGTATCTTTAAATAGTAGATTTTGATCTAGGAAACCAGAGTTTAGGTTCGAGAGTATGGTAACACGTGGAGAAAGGTTATAGCACTCCCACAGCGCCCATCTAAAAAATTGTACCAGTTGGATTTTAGATTATCCAAGCATTGATCATATTTATGATTTACCAGATAATTTAATATTAAAAATATATCTTAAAATTATTCCAATAGTTTGGTAGCAATTTAAGATAATTCTCTTACCTCATGAGTATTCATGGATACTAGTGTCCCACTTTGAAAAGGCTTCGTCGTCAAATTTATTAATGTACTTTTATTAAAAAAAATTAGTAAAATCTCCTAATAGTTTTGTACGACTTATTTTGAGACAGATCTCTCAATAGTTTGGTGAGATTTTATTGTAAAAAGATTTGTAAAAATTTTGCCAAATTTATTAAGTCTCCTAATAGTTTGGTAAGACTTAATTTAAAAAGTAATCCTTTAATCGCTTGGAGGATGAAAATATTTTTTATTTTTTTTAAACTGATTTTATGAAATTTTTCAATAGTTTGGTGGATTTTGTAAAATTCAAATCCATAAAAATTCTCCAATAGTTTGGAATGATTCATGAATTTATTTTGAAATATTTTTATTTTTACTTTTTTTGTAAATAAGTAAAATGAAAACTCATAAAGAAAAAAATCACAACAATAAGTAATGTATTTTTTTCAATTTAAAATAAGAAATAATAAGAGTAAATAAAAATAAACAAAATAACATAAATAAAATAAGAAAAATAAAGTCAAAACAGAAAATGGAGTGAAACACACAGATTTAGATGCCTCAAATTTCAAGCTTTTCTTCAAAAGTATTTTAGTATGCCTCTCTTTCTAAAATGATTATTCTTTTATCTTCTCTCTAACTAATTCTTCAGAAATTAACAAATAAATCTCAAAAGCTGATAAAGAATTTTCAAAAAACCCAACAAATTATCTAGAAAGCTAAAACCAAGAATCCCTAAAATACAGAAGCTTACAGAAATTCAAACTCAAAAACACCAAATCTCAATTCTAGAAAATTGAAACAAATCAAATCCAGAACCTAAAACCTCTTAGTTACTAAACAAAATTTTCTCTTTTCTCCCAAGAGTTTCTACATAATCTCTTTTTCTCTCTATCCCCATTTGCTTTGATCATAGATTTATATAGGAATTTATACTCAATCAATTTCCCTTAAATCTTTGATTTTATTTTATTTTCGTTTCAATGAAAATTGATTCTGAAATCAAATTCCAAAATCTCTCCCTATCAACTTAATGTGAATTGATTATAGAATTAAATTTCGACAATCTCTCCACATCATTTTTAATGCCAATTGATTCTGGAATTAAATCTAAAAAATCTTTCAATTACGATTGAAGCTTAATTTTTAAAAAAAATTTTTCGGACAAAATGATGTGTCTATATAAAGTGCATAACGCAAATTAACTTCTTAAGTATTTCATCGGCATAAGTCATCAAGTAAGAAGAAAATTTTGAAGAATGCAGAAAGATCCATTTTTATATAAAAAAAAATAGAGAAAAGGATAGCTAAAAAGATTTATAGGGAAGCATGAATGCAACCACATTAATAGAATAATAAAAAATTGCTTGCCTAAATTGACAATCAATAGACAGATATGATTCTTAATTCAGATACGAATCATGTCCTTGATGAATATGTAACACCTTCAATTCCGCGTTAGAAATTTGTAAGGATCTACAGAAAATATATAAAGACTTAAGTGAAACAATACTTACAAGCCACTTTTTGTGGACAAAAACTGAGAAACCCATTTGGCTAAAACATACAATACCCCATAAGTCGTGTCATCATTATAGAATCACATAAAGAACATGTTTGTCTCAAACATTAAAAATGAGTCTATTAACAAATATTTCCTAGAACTAACCAGATGAGGACGAAGGAAGACCTTCACTAATATTTCACTTACAATCAATATATGGATCCGGTCCACCAAAAGAACCATTTTCTTAAATCGTTTCATTTCTAAAGCATATAATTGGACTTAGAATAATAAACTAACGAGAATCAGAAGTTGTATCACTGCCACCATCTAAGCCACATTGTTCTTGTCTATTCTATCATGTGACAGCCTAGCAAACAATGCTACACAAACTATTAAAATTATTTATCTGTAGCTCCTTTTCCACTGGTCATCCCACATCTGCCATGAAATGTCATTCAAAACTTTATTATACGGGAATATTACAGCACTTTTGAGATCTTGCGATCAATTTTTACCTGGGATATTAGTATCATATCCATGAAAGTAAAAAAGACAAACACAAACTAACTAGATCCTACAATTTCTTAGCAACAATACGGTATTGATATATTTGGTTCCACTTTATGGTGGAGATGGAAAAGCTGAAGTGGACCATACTTTGTCTGTCATTAGCCACCTATGGTCCCACCAGATGGTGGGCCATATGCTCAAGATGATCCTACGGTAAAAACTCAAGCTGGAACCTTATAGCTTTTCATACAAAGTTAATAGAAATAGACATGGGCCCAAAGCCGAAGAACTCATTTATGTTCAGTACAGCATGATTTGGTTCTCAGAAGTCAGAATTATTAAAATCAGATTATATCTAATAAGATTCTCCCAGAACTATTTTATTTGTACCAGATAACGTTACTCCTGTACAGTTACGCAAGGCCAAAAAAGCGATTGAGGCGTACACTGTATTGTTGGTAAACTATGACGATTTCACACAAATATTCATATAATATTAATGGTATGAAAAAAATTGAATTTATTTGCTTGAATGACTTCCCAAGCCATTAGGAGATTGGCTATAAAATCAATAGTAAGTTGGTCAAAACAAACATATAAATTACATCAGTTGAATCATCAATATAAACTACATCATGTTTGGAGAAACAACATACTACTAAATTAAAATCGAGGATCGAGATTTCTAAAGGTGATGCTGCTCCATTCTCTGTCACAAAGCTGTAATAATAAATTACTATTGGCCATTATTTGTTCCATTAATAATCCATCTTATACCCTAATTCCAATTTTCATAAAGTTTGAAATTTTAAGTTTCTCAAATGCTTTGCATGTCTCACATTAAAATAACTATAAGATTGGCAAGGAAACTTACGTATATAAGCAGGTGAGTACACATATGAACAAAATAAAGAGAAAGATTAAGATTAGAAAATAGCTTACCATTCCTCTCAAAGCTCAAATATGCTTCCTGCATAAGTTAAAACTTTTAAAATTCATAATTTTTCATAAGTTGAGCCAAATGATTTCTTTTTTAAAAATTAAGCTTTTTGTTTGTAATAAAATACATGAAACTTTTTTAAAGAGTAAAATAAAATATAAAGATTGAAGAATAATACAAATTCGTAAATCTTTTCTATTCATAAAATTTAAATGTATAGGGTAACTAATCTTTATAATTTTTCTAAAAAAAATAATCTCACTCAATATCTTTAAAATAGCATTACTCATTATAAAAGGAAATTAAAGTGGTAAGTCGGTTACATAGCTAAATTATTTCTCGTTATGCAAGTTAGGTTATTACTTGGTTAAACCTGTATAAATAAATCCATGAGCTCAGTCTTTGTTTATCAACCACTAAAGACGCATAGAAATGCTGTACAAATTTTGGTGTCCTTGGTTGATTTTCTGTTTTCTCACCATGGAGGATAATGTATTAATGTCAAACGCAACAGAGGCGAAAAAAACAAGAAGCAGCCGAGGTCGTCAACGAATTGAAATCAAGAAACTGGAAGACGAAAGCAAACGTCAAGTCACTTTCTCCAAACGTAGAAGAGGGTTGTTCAATAAAGCTAAAGAGCTTTTCACATTGTGCGGGGTAGAAGTTGGTATCCTCGCATTATCAAAATTTGGAAGAGTATACACCAACGATAATGTGGAAGCAGTTCTTGATCGATATCTAGCCTAGTCATCTGGTCAGGGTAATTATTCATGGATAAAGCAGAAAAGAAGTTAAAGAAGATATTAGTAGTGGGTTTTGGTTGGATCAGCCGATTGAGAACATGAGTCTGGTGGAACTGCTGGAATATGTGATGGCGCTTAATGACTTGAGAAAAAACACAGAGGCTAGAGTGGAGGAGCTGAGCATTCAAAAGTCTACTTATTTATGGCAATATGTTGCTGATCAAGAATTGAACAAGGACCGAGATTTCTGAAGGTCATGCTGCTCCATTCTGTCACTAAGCTGTAATAATATATTACTATTGGCCATTATGTTTTCCATTGATAATCCATCTTATATCCAAATTCCAATTTTCATAGAGTTTGACATTTTGAGTTTCTCAAATGCTTTGCTTGTCTCACATTAAAATAACTATAAGATTAGCAAGGAAACTTACGTATAGAAGCAGGTGAGCACACACACATGCACAAAATAGAGAGAAAGATTAAGACTAGAAGAATAGCTTACCATTCTTCGATCAATCATAGAGCACCCATCAGCGCAAAGTAGGGCTGGAAATGTATCAAATTCTTCCGATAGACACAGAGTAAGTATGAGCCTCATCCCTCTTTGACACTCAGGTGTCTCAGCTAGAGATAAACCCCCAGTAGATCTTGTATGTGAACGGAGCAGAATGATCCACCAAAACCCAGAGTCAACCGGAGCAACTCTTCCAATGGCACTCTCTCCAAAATCTGCAATAATTGTGTCCGATTTACGTACAGGCTCGTGAAGAACTTTGAAGCTAGCTGGCATTGCACCTTCGCCTAGCTTGAATCTATCTATTCTTTTCCCCCACCCTTGAAGATGTAGGGTTTTCAAGAGAAAGTTCTTAGGCTCTCCATTCATCAGAAAAGCCGGAGCACTGGGTACAAAATTTCGAACAAAAACCTGAGCAAATTATCAAACATGATCAAAGCAGTCTCAGAAAATTTCAAATCATGAGCCATAATTGACCAGATGGTAATGGATTTTCAACATTAAAAACAACTTACCAAACCTCTTTTTTACAATCAGCTACGAAGCACTGGACAGGCAAAACAGTACAATAACACATGGACACGGTAATTTTTAAAAAACTAAAGATATGAGTATGGTAGGACACGGACACACGGTAATAAAAAATATTTTATATATTTCTTATATTAAAATATGCAATATAAACATGATCTAAAATAAGTTTCATTATCCATATTATTTCTGCCCAAATAAAAAGCCCTTTCTTAATGGGTCCATTCTTCATTCATGGCCCAATATAATAAGTAAAGAAATCATATTATAATAACTAACAACTAAAGAAAGCAAAAAGACCAACAGATAAAGAAGAAATTGAATATCTCTATGCCCTTGATATTTCTCCAATCTTCCCCTTATGACTTTGACATCTCCTATCCTTCATGTTCTTTAACCTTCAACAAATTAACAGTCTTCGGTTTTAGCATTATCATCTCCTCCATCTTTCATCTTCCTCAACCTTCAACAAATTAAAAGGTGATGCTTCAATCTAGATATGAAATTTATCACTTGTTTGGTTTTATACTTCTGATTTATTTCTCGACGGACTTTACAATTGTCACTTTTTAGAGAAAAATTTAAGCAAAAAAAACTTTCCATGCCGTGTCCTTGCAGCTCCCTTGTTGCATCTTTTTTTTTTTTGTTTGGTATGTCCAAGGACATCTGACACATATTTGCCACGTCGATGTCATGTCTGTGTCGGACTGACCCCATGTCATTTTTCCTTGACAATCAGTATTCTCTATTCATATAAAAATTCGTTCAGGTTTAGCTTGAAGTTTCACCTAATCAAAGTTCTCCAACTTGGATCAAGGTATTTAGTATTAAATGATTATCCCACATTATTATTAAATGATGTTTGCCCACATTCAATTAAGTTCAGAGTTGCTAGTCCTTGTATTCTGGTTCAAGCTTTCCATCCATCACCAATTAATTATAGGTTGATGCTCAACACATGATCATAATCAATAATAAATGTCAATGTCATAGTTTATGATTTACACATATGCAAAAATAATTTCATTATCACCAAAAAAGGGTCCTACTTCATACTATGAGATGAGAACTTTACCTGATCATAGTTCAAAACTTCCTCAGATGCATGGTCATATGCGGCAATGGTACCAACTGGTTGGCCTCGAAAATACACCAAAGACCTCCTAAAAGCTTCCCATGCTTCAGCCACCATGAGGTATGGCTAAAAAAAGTTTCTACCTGATGAAGCCGGAGTACCAAAACCTGACCTCCCATCGGGGAAGTACGTGGTCATAATTGTCATAACCCCCTCTTGTGAGACCAATAGAGAGCTTACCGATTGACCTCTCATCAAATGATCTTTGCCTTTCTATGTTAAGCCTTGGCTTATCAAGAAGGCGCGAGAGATCATAATCATCCATTTTGGAGATTGAGCAAGTTGAGCTCACATTTCTATGTTCCACCTCTTTAGTCCCATACATTTCTTTGTCTTTAATGCATAAAAACAAAAGTTCAAGTTTCAGAAAGAAGAATCTACAGTTCAAAAAAAAAAAAAAACAAAGAATTAGAGCCCCAAATTTTTTGTATAACAACAAAGCATAAACCCCAGAATAGCAATAAACATGCTTAATATAGGAACTGAAATGCTAAGACTACTTATAAAGCTGATGAAATAAAAGCCTTGCCTTGTTATCCATTCAAACAACCCTTTTCCTTTTTGTAAGGAGAAGAAAACAAAAATAAATTTAAAACCAAAACTTTTACTCATACATTACCAAGATGTTGGAAGGATAAGACGGAAATTTTCCAAAACTAACGTCAATCATCATCATTATATTTATATATTATATATGTAATTTTCTATTTGCAAGTTTTTTAAAAAATTATTTATTTTGTAAATTTTTAAGAAAATTTACTGCATTATATTTGGCTGTAAGAAAAAATAAATCCAGATAAAAAAAAGGGAACAGATCAAGATACATACCAAGAAAAAACCAATAGAGTGTAACAAAAAAGGAAACAAAAGAAATAATAGAAATCAAGCCAGCTACAAAAAGAAAACCCAGATCTGAAACTCAAGCTAAGACATCAAACAAATTAATCAAAACACCCAGACACCGAAAAAGAAAGAAAAAGCTTTATATAAATAAAAAGGTAAACCCTTAAGAAAGCAAAAATGTCGAAGAAAGTGAATTCTCCGGTAACCCCAAGAGAGAATAACGATCGACGATTTCGTCGGAAAATGGTCGAAAAGATAAAGAGAGAAAATAAGAGGAAGAAGAGGCAAAGAAAATTTAGAAGATCGTGGGGATATGATATTTATAGAGTGAGAAGAAAAAGACTTTAAAAAAAAATAAAAACAAAAACTTATTGTGATAACAGGCGAACTATAACCATGTCTTTCTCGCTCCTATGTAAGAACAAAAAAGGGGATGGGTTAAGTTTACCGGTAATTGCCGGTAAAAGTGCTTGTGAAATGTTCACGCTTTAGTAAATGACACTGTTTAGAAATGGCTATAAGACCGTCTGATTTGGCAATTGGAAGTCTGGAATTGGACTTTTCAGTGGCCAACTTTTTTTATTAGTTTATGTTGGATTTGTTCTTTTTTTACCATACATTGATTTTGGTTAGGTAAAGTAACTCTGAATTTAATTTTGTAATTAATAACATTTCATTTAATTTTAGCGTGCTTACGTTAAGTTTTTTAATGTTTTTTTTAACTCTTGTTCACATTTAATTCTCTATTCTTACTTATTTAACTCAACTAAAAAAACATTATATGTCTCAATTTATTTTAAATTCATAAATTTTAAAAATTTAATCAACATATATTTCATCTAATTAATAATTAGTTGGTTTTCAATTTTTTTTATATAATGACAAAAAAAAATTTTAGATGTAAGAAGAAAGTTCGAACTTCACTATATATTCTCATCTCTTATCTCTTATTAAATAAAAAAAATTAATTATAACCCTTTTAATCTTTGAGTTATGTAATTAGGATAATAACTTTTTTGTCATGTAACTTTACTTATTTATATTTAAGAATCTGAACTAACATCTTTAAAATACAATATCAAATTGTAATCATATATTATATCATTTTATGACGATAAAAAAATTAAATATTTTTAATTTCAAATTTTTAAATAGGAGTAAATGTAGTTTAGTCTTTAACTCAAAAGATATTTATATATGGAATATTATTTCCTATATATCATCAATAATGTTGATAGTATTTTTGATGTTTTATGCTATATTTGGATAGATATTAATAAAATAAAAGAAAAAAAATTTAAAGGAAAGAAAATAGTATATGTATTCCTATTTGGATAGTTAAAATTAATAAAAGAAAGAAAAGAAAAAAAATTTTGATAACTATTATTCGGATAAATAGTGAAAAGGAAAAGAAATAATTTATTATAATATTTTTTCAATTATAACATTTTTTTATAAAGTAACATATAATATACAAATATATCTTTATACTACCTAGCTTGTATAAATAAATCGTTTTAAACAAAATTGAGCATGCTTAATACGATAAGATATATTAGCTAGTTATTTATTTACTCGTAATTTTGTGTTTAATTCAATCTTTTAATTTATAAAAATTATAAAAAAAAAAATTATTGAATTTTATTGAACAAAAATTTTTTTTTTGTTTTAAGGTATGCAATATTGTCCAAAAATTTATATTATCATGTCAAGTTATCAACAAAAATGCCCTGCGGTTGAATTTATTACAGAAAATAATGTTGTTATCAATTATTTTTAGGTCTATATGCACAGGTTAAAGTAGTTAAATTACTATTTAAGTAATGAATTTTGCATTTAATATACTACTTTCACTAAATTCAAAAACATACAATACAATAATTACAAATTTATTTGGAATAGAATTGGGATCAAGGGTTGCAAAATTTAATCCTCCATTTAAGAAGCTTTTTCATCCCTTCAGTCATGTTTGACACATAAAATAATAGAGAGGATAGGATAATAATCATTTTATATCATATTTGGTTTGTAATAATATTTTAGTTCATAGGTAATCAAAGAAGAATAACTTTAAAATCATTAATCACTTTTAGATAGTATTTAATTCCCCAGTGTAGATGAAGTTATCTATAGCTTAAACTAAATATAAGATAAAATTGATTAATAATGTTAAATGTATAAACTAAGAGATAATTGATAAATAAATATAAATTACTATCTAACTTTGCATAATCCCATAAAATATTGATGACATTATTTAATTTAATCCATAAATCTAAGGTCTACATTAACTCGGCCAACTCGACTTATCATCTCCTGATTAGACCTCAACCTGTCAGGTCAAGTCGAGCTAGTGTTGTTAGCTTTAAACCTGACTTTCAAAGCTCAAGGCATACAAGCCTAACATTTTCACTTTACAAGTATAAGTAGCCCCTTCACACTATGTATGAACATTTAATTTATTTCTCTCTCTTTTTAAGATTTCTTTCATTCTCCCTTTCTTATTGAGTACTGACTTGAGAGTTAGAGCAAAATTACCCGAAAAATGTCAACCTTTACTTCTAATTAACCTTTGACCTTATGATTTTAGGTTTTTAGCCTCATCGAGCAACTCGACATAAACAGTGAGATTAGGGTTTTAGGTTTTGGGGATAAGATTAGGTTCTTTTGGTTTTGAGAATATCCAAGAAGATTTGAAAATTTTGTTTTGATTATAGAGATTTATTAAAGAGGAATTTGTAACTTTAGATCTAGACCTATTGATTTATAGATGTTTTTAAGGAAATCTAGTCTTATAAAAATGAAGATAAGGTCCAAAGGAGTTTAAAGATGGTTTTTGAAAGAAAATTGATGCAAAAAAAACGGTGGTAGTGATGGTGGACAGTGACAAAAAAGGTGACTGATGTCAAAATCTGGAAAAAAAAGTTATCATTTTTGGATTTTGTTTGAAGTTAGAGGGTGAAAAGAGAGATAAAAGAGAATAAAAAGAGATAAAAAAGATAAAAATAAATAAGAATTTGGGAAATACCATACGTCATAATTATGTAATAAATTACCTACCCAATTTCACATCTTTGCCATGTGAATTAAAAAAATCCATGTCATCATAACCCAAATCACCAGCCAATGAAATTTTCCATGTAATCAAAATTAATGTCATGTTAACAGATCAATATCCACATCAGCGGATTTAACGAAAAAAAATTAAATATTAATGATTGATTGAAATTCCAAAATTTGAAAAGTAAAGGTATTGTCAATATTGAAATTATTGCAAATAGACTAAATCTATATTTTTACTTAATTACTGAACTTGATAACATAATTTGATCATTTAAATTGATTACAATGGTAAATACAACAAAAATGAAACAATATTATGATTAGAATCAAACATTTAAAACATATATGAAATGTCAGCCAAATGTTAACAATCGCGTGGTATATTGATAAAATATTAAATTTAATTTCAATGATAAAAATTTACTTTTTGATAAATTCAATTAAAAGAAATGTCAGTGAAAGTTTTGAATGGGGTAAAGAGTTTAATGAAAATTTTGATGATTGCAAAGTTGGAATGGAATTGGATTTATGAAAAAAATGTGACAAACAAAAAGAAAATAACTTTTTAAATTTTAAAATAATAATAAGATCATATCAGATTTTGCATATGTATGTTTGTCGAAAAGAATTGAAAATAGATTTTGCATGCGTGTTGATTAATCCATTATTCTATTGTTTTTCCATAACTTGTGCTTTACTTAAACCATTTACAAGTAAGGGTGTAATCGAGTCGAGTCAAGCTAATACACTGCTATGCTCGAGCTCGATTGAAAATTTCAAACTCAAAACTCGATTTAAACTTGACAAAATTTTATTTTTCAAGCTTAAGCTCGACTCGAGATAAAGCTCAAGCTCGATTAATCTTGATATCTAGTCCAAAATTACAAATCAAATTAACATGATTGATAGCAAAATCCCAATTTAACTAATCAAGACAACTACCCTTAACAAATTAATTATAAAAAAAAACTTAACAAATTAAATCTAAATAATCAAGAGTTAACAAGGTAGTTAAGAAAAGTTTTAGCATAGAATCGAACAACAATTTCTAAGGGCCTATTTCAAAAATCAAGCCAATGAACTCAAAATGAAAGAAAAAAAAAAAAACTTAGAGACCGTACCTAGAATTGCTACTAAAATTAAACCAGGTGTTATTGATGGAGAATAGCTACTATTGCCATTAGCTTAAAAGGGACATTGTTAGCTAGAGTAAAGATTGTTGAATCGAACTCTAGATAGGGAAAGGAAGAAAATTTTAAAGATGAAAGCTCAAAAGAGTAAGAAAGAAAGGAAATGGGTGGTTGTTGAGAATCTAAGAGGGCTTTAGAAAAGGAAAGATAGGGACACCTGGATTTGGAGAAGGATTGAGAGAGTGGGAATGAAAAGGAAATAGATAGAAATGGGCATATGAATGTTAGAATATTAAATGAGTATGAATAGTGTTGTTAAGGATTTATATATACAAGGATAAATTTTTAATTTTTAATTTTTAATTAAATAGTAAAAAATATATTAAAATAAAAAAGCTCGATTAGGTTCACAGCTATTTAAATCAAATATTATGATACTTGAATTTGGCTCAATTGATAAATCGAGTTACTCGAGCTTGAGCTTAACTTAATAAATGTATCATTTATGCCTTTAATTGTAAGAATGATCATATATTATATATATATATATATATAAAGAGATTAACTTATATCAGTGTAAAATTTGTTAGTTTTATATTTTTTTAATGATTGATTTTAATAGATCTAAAATATTATATTAAACTCTTTTTTCTATTTTTGACTTATCTCTCTCATCCATTTAGAAATATCAATTTTACGCGTTCTTGATAGGAAACTTGACTTGTTACCCTAATGGAAACATAATGAGTATTAAATTTTAGGGATAAAGATGGAAATATATATGATTTTAAATTTTTTATCAAATACGAGAATAGAGATGGATAATATAGTGCACATTCTGTATCCGCATCTTATATTTATATTTAGTAAATAAATTTTTATTAAATAATATAAAATTTTATTTTAGATAAATTAAAATTAATATATTTCTATTTAAAAATATATATTAATATGTTTATAAAAAATTACATAAATGTGAAAATGTAAAAAAAAAAAAAAAGCAAAATATAGAATTTGGTTTTTATTTTTTTAGAAAAGTTACAGTTACAAGATCACCCACACTCTTTAAATATATACGAGCATGGAGATGAAGATATATTTGAAATACCTATTAGATAAAAATATTAAAATTGGTATAATATAAAAATTTGAGGATGAAGATAGGAAATGGTATACTCATCTCGTATTATACCCATTGATATTCTTACACATCCATTAAATTTGTTGAAATCAATTATTAAAAAAACAAAATTAAAAAATTTTACTTGGTGATTGCTTCTTTATATAAACACTATTATATGAGAAAGAAATGGTTCCGATTGAAATATAAACACTATTATACGAGAAATAACAATTCCAATTGAAAATACTGTGTTGAAATAAAGCCAAAAGGGGCAAAATTAGACTGATAACTCCACAAACATGAAATTTCAAATTGATTTAATTTCCAATTGGTATTATACAATTAGCTAGTGGTTTTTTGTTGAATAATTTATATTTTGTAAGAACAAAATAAATATGCCTTAGGATAAAATGTTTCAGATAATTACTTCAGACGTATCTACTGATCTGTTCCATTTATCCTCAATCGAATAGACAATTTGGTGTCATGTTTAGATATTTGTCTGAAAAATTAAAACATTGGTTTTTAATATTATTAGATTGCCATCACTTTCACTATATTGTTCAATACCAATCAATAACACTATTATCTTGACTTCTATTCGAAACTATATATATCCACTATGCCTGGATTTTATTTTGCTTCATCTTTCTCTTCAAATTGTATTATTGTCCAACTTCAATTTTTATTGTTAAAATAACAATAAGGAACAGAAAAAATTAATCACTAGACAACAAATAAGACATGTGAAAGGGACCTGGATCCATTCCAGACCCAGACTAATCTTTTTATAATCAACTTCATTAAAGATGAGGCAGACGGATTAAGGGGTTTTTTTAAAGATACTTTGTTTGTATTCCTCTCCAATGTTAAAAAAAAAAAATTAGAGATGATTTTTGAATGACCCAAGAAGAAAATATAAAGAAAAAATTATGATCGAAATTGTCATCAAAATCCATAATAATCTAAATACTAACCATAATGAAACAATTAAGTTTTTTTTCCTAGTTACATTAGTCGCTAATTAATCCAATCCAAGTGACGAGGCAAAACGGTCCACCTTCTTCTTAGACTATATGTGAGCTTATGCATAGATTTAAAAAATCTATGCTTTAGTATATTTCTCTGATCTTATTGTCCTTTTTGAAGTCCTGATAGCCAATTGGAAATTGATAGTAAAATACAATAAATTATTCTCTCCAATCATGTAAAACTGTTTAAAAAGTACAACCTAAGAGCCAAAAATAAAATAAAGATAAAATGTTATCTTATGCATTAGTATTAGCTCTCAAACATTTCCACCGAAAAGAGGTAATTAATATATATAATCCACCAACTAATCATTCTCTAATTATGCAGTGATTAAATTCAATGACGATGCTCAACAAGAGTGAAATTGTCAGAGTTGCGACACCAATCATAATTTCCCCCAACCATTAACTGCTGTAAGAACTGTGCCTTGTTCAATTCCTGATCAGCAACATAATGCCATAAACAAGTAGATTTTTGAATGCTCAGCTCCTCCACTCTAACCTTTGTGTTCTTTTTCAAGTCATTAAGCGCCATCGCATATTCCAGCAATTCCACCAGACTCATGTTCTCAATCGGCTGATCCAATCAAAACGCATCACTAATATCTTCTTTAACTTCTTTCTGCTTTATCCATGAATAATTACCCTAAGCAGATGACTCGACTAGATATCGATCAAGAAATACTTCCACATTATCGTTGGTGTATACTCTTCCAGATTTTGATAATGTGAGGATACCAACTTCTGCCCCCGCACAATGTGGAAAGTTCTTTTTGGAGAAAGTGACTTGACGCTTGCTTTTGTCTTCTAGTTTCTTGATTTCAATTCGCTGACGACCTCGGCTGCTTCTTGTTTTCTTCGCCTCTGCTGCGTTTGATATCAATACATTATCCTTCATAGTGAGAAAACAGAAGATCAGCCAAGGACACCAAAATTTGTACATCACTTTTACGTGTCTTTAGGGGTTGATAAACAAAGGCTGAGTGCATGGGTTTATTTATACGGATTTAACAAAGTAATAACCTAACTTGTATAACCGAAAATAACTTAGGTGATGTGACCGACTTGCCACTTTAATATCTTTTTATAATGAGCACTGCTAATTTAAATATATTGAATGAGATTTTTTTCCTTTTTTTTTAGAAAAATTATAAAGATTAGTTACCCTATGAATTACATTTATGAATAGAAAAGATTTGCAAAATTGTATTGTTTTTTAAATCTTTGTATTTTATTTTTACTTTTTGAAAAAGTTTCATGTATTTTATTATAAACAAAAAGCCTAATTTTAAAAAAGAAATCATTTGGCCCAACTTATGAAAAAATTATGAATTTTAAAAATTTTAACTTATGTGAAAATCAAATATGAGTTTTTAGATGAAATTATAATCGAAACTTTTCAAGAAGTATTAATTTTAAAAAGAATATTTAATAATATTTTTTACATTCTCACAATTTACAAAATTATAAGGAAGATTATATATTTTTTAGATTTTTTCCATTTATTATTGAATTCATTTGTTTTTATTATTAATTAATAAAAATATATTTTATCTTATTTATTATTTTCACTTAAAAAGTTGTGATTTAATTTAACAAAATTGACTATTTATTTTTATTTATTAAAAATATACAAAATTATTATCAAATAATTTTTTCAATATCTCACCATACTTTTGTATTAAGTTTGCTAAATGCTATTTTAGCTTTTTTTTATAGTATTTTTAGAACAGGTCTACTCTAGTAGACCAATGTAAAGGAAGTTAATAGTGTTAATCAATTTACACCAGTGTAAAATTTTTTAATTTTACATATTTTTCTAACCATGTATTTTAATAGATGAGATTAACTCACTTTTTCTCCTTTTGACTTATCTCTACCATTTTTGGGATCTATTGAAATAAATAGTTAAAAAATATGTAAAACCAAAAGGTTTTACATTGATGTAAACTGATCCTTCTCTATATTTATAGAGAAAAGTGAGGGGAGGGATTCACTTGCACTAATGGATCAAAATCGTTAAGTGTAAGTGTTATAAATTTAATTTTGATCCAATGATAAAAAAATGCATAACTCTTACACTAGTATAAGTGGATATTCTTTTTCATATATACATATATATATATATGATAAAGTAAGGGAAAGATAAATGGATCAAAGGCAATGGATAAGAAAGAAAAAATATTTTAGTAGTTATGAAAATTTTTTTTTTCATTTTAATGTTAATTGAGATATTAGGGGATTAGAATTTAAACTTTCAAATTGAAAATCTTAAGTTCAAATTTATGGAAGGAAAGGATGATATTTATGTTAGAAAAAAATATAAAAGTAAAAGTTTATAAGAAAAAAACTTTTTGATAAACGTCTTGACAACTTGTTAACTTATTGTAACCTCTTTGTTATGTAGTTGGATTTGAACAATATGGTCCTTCAAATACAAATGAAATAACTTCAAGGAGTGTTACATATGCCACTTTCCCTAAGACTTATTTCACCTTAACTAGTTATAGTATGCAATAAGGGTGAACCAAAATGCCTTCAAGATATAATGAAGCCTTCTTTATTCTTACTTTGTAGTAGTAAAGTATACCACTAAATACTCTTGGGTAAGAATGGAAATACCTTCTCTTTAACAAAGATTTTATAGCAAACAATGTTAAAGAAACTTACTTTAATTGAGAAAAATTAAGAGAAAAACAGAGTTAATTCTAAATTGAATTGTATGTCCAAATGAACTTACATCAATCTCTATTTCTAGAGATTGAATCATAAGGTTGTGACTTCTTTATTGTAATATTGTAATTAAAAATCACTTCTTTTTGGTTAGAAATATATCTCTTTGAAATATTATAGACATATGTGTTCATTTGAATAATTAAACTTTTCATACAAAGAAAAACCATTTTTCACGTTTCTGAATATTGTAAATTTTCATGCAAAGTAGTTGACTCCATTAAGAAAGCAATCAACTATTTCTTTGTATTTTTTAATTTCCAGAATGCTTTTTGAAGTAGGCTAGTCGATTCTTTTATAAAGTAGTCCACTATTTTTCACCTTACAGAACGTTTTTTTTATGCGTGAGTAGTTGGCTACTTCATATAGCAACTAACTTCTTTCAAATCTTAGAAAGGTTCCACATTTGACCTCTTATAGAGCAGTTGATTCCTTTTCAATGATAATTGACTACTATATACTTAGACCATTTTTCTAGAAAACTATCAGCCAATGACAATTGACATTACAAGAGAATAGATCTTTGGTAGCATTTTTTTCTATTTTTAGCGGCGTTTATAAATGCTGCTAAACAATTCATGGTGTTTGTCAAAAATGTCACTTAAAGTATTGACTATATTTGCATTAGAGAAAATAGCAGCATTTTCCCTTAAAACATTGTTAACTTAGCGGCATTTGTGTACACCACTAAATCTAGTGTTGTTTATGCAGACAAACACTGCTAAATTATAGAAATTAGTGTATTTATGTCCAAAAATGCCCTTTTTTGGATACAAACACCGCTAAATGCACAAATTAGCGAGTTTTTAGATACAAACGCCACTAATTTCTATAATTTGTGGCGTTTGTATTCAAAAAATGCCACAAAATTGAAAATTTTGCTTTTTATATTTCTCTCAATATTTACTACTATAATTAAATAAAAATTTGAAGAAATAAAAATGATTTTTATAAATTGAATATTATAAATATTTAAATATCTAAATACATAATTTGTTCCAATACATATTGTTATTTACATCTATTTTTCTAAAAATATAGAAGTAGATAGGAAAAATGTAAGCAAAAGAATACATCAAACTCTTGATCACATAATATTGAACAATTTTAAAGAAAACTTTATCTTGATATCTCTATTATCTTTGCTCACAAGCTCTGAAAGCACACATTGTCTCTACAGCTATCTTGAGCTCTAACTTTCATGAAGTCAAATGAATTTCAAGGGGGAGATAATAAGTGCTAATGAATACAAATCAAGTAACAAAAGAAAACCCAGGAGTTAATAAGAGCATCATCACTTTTACGAGGTGCTTTGTATTATGCCTTCATTTGGAGGATTAAACCCAAAAGCTATCATAAAAGGACCATCAATAACTAAATTTGCCCATAAAAGTTGCACAAGTATCATACATTCTAGTAACCCAAGAGCAACAGTCAAGAATATGGATATTACTTCTCAACATTTGATGATATCATGTATTTGTGAATTTAGGAAATAAATAAATAAGGCATATCTTAATTGCTCAGAGTAAAAGTACAAGATCAAATTAACATGCCTTATGAAAGCTTTTATGTTATCATAAATTGGGCGACCCTCAGCAACAACTAGAACAATGGTGAATGCATTTTTGCCAAGAAAATGCCTAGAATAATCAATAACAAATAATCTGTGCCTAGACCCAAAAAAAGGTTAAAGGACGAATCGAACTAACAACCTTATGGTAAACATCTGTACGATCCAAAGGATTTGATAAGCTTAATATTGAATGAATTTTTGAAAAAAATAAATTTCATAAGTCAAAATTTTTTTGTTTACATATTAAAGGCGTTTCTTGTAGACAACACCTTCATTAATCTTATATAATTTTTTATGACGTGGATTATTGAAGGCGTGTCTATCAAAAATATGCCTTAACTATTCATTGAAACTTTTAATAAAAATTATTCAAAAGGTGTTTTAGTCGAGAAACGCCTCTAATATCAAGTCTTGGATGGCATTTATATGTAACAAGCACCGTATTTGAATATTTAGTGGACGTTTAGATAAAAAACACTTGAAGTTTATAAAAACACGGAAGCTAGGCGACATTTGTAAGTGAAAGGGCCACAACAAAAACTACTGCTAATACACCATTTTGCTGTAGTGTTAGATATCTTAAATAGTAGATTTTGATCTAAGGAAACCAGATTTAGGTTCGAGAGTATGTTACACGTGGAGGAAGGTTATAGCACTCCCACAGCGCCCATCTTAAAAATTGTACCAGTTGGATTTTAGATTATCCAAGCCTTGATCATATTTATGATTTACCAGATAATTAATATTAAAAATATATCTTAAAATTATTCCAATAGTTTGGTAGCAATTTAAGATAATTCTCTTACCTCATGAGTATTCATGGAAGACTAGTGTCCCACTTTGAAAAGGCTTCGTCGTCAAATTTATAATGTACTTTTATTCAAAAAAATTAGTAAAATCTCTTAATAGTTTAGTAAGACTTATTTTGAGACAGATCTCTCAATAGTTTGGTGAGATTTTATTGTAAAAAGATTTGTAAAAATTTTGCCAATCTTATTAAGTCTCCTAATAGTTTGGTAAGGACTTAATTTTAAAAAGTAATCCTTCAATCGCTTGGAGGATGAAAATATTTTTTATTTTTTTTTAAACTGATTTTATGAAATTTCTCAATAGTTTGTGGATTTTGTAAAATTCAAATCCATAAAAATTCTCCAATAGTTTGGAATGATTCATGAATTGTATTTGAAATATTTTTTATTTTACTTTTTTTGTAAATAAGTAAAATGAAACTCATAAAGAAAAAAAAATCACAACAATAAGTAATGTATTTTTTTCAATTTAAAATAAGAAATAATAAGAGTAATAAAAATAAACAAAATAACATAAATAAAATAAGAAAAATAAAGTCAAACAGAAAATGGAACGTGAAAATAGTGAAGAAATACCTACGATCGGGGTCATGGTAAAACACACTGAATTTAGATGTCTCAAATTTTAAGCGTTGGTCTTCAAAATGTATTTGAGTATGCCCTCTTTCTTTCTAAAATGAATAATTTTTTTTCCTTTTTTTTCTGTTCTGTCTTCTCTTAACTTACATTTTCAGAAATTAACAAATAAATGCTCAAAAGCGGTGATAGAGAATTTTCAAA